TATAGAGAAAAAGAAGCTTACGTGGCAATGATATTTGTGCAGCTTGCATATGCAGGCATGGCCTTGTCCTCTAAAGCTTCGATTTCTAAAGGAATGAACCCTTACGTTTTCGTTGCTTATCGGCAGGCATTTGCCACTCTTGCCCTCGCTCCTTTCGCTTACTTCTTCGACCGGTCTCTCTCTCTCTCTCTCTCTCTCTCTCTCTCTCTCTCTCTCTCTCTCTCTCTCTCTCTCTCTCTTAGGTACACACACATGCACATTCTTGTTAACTAATTTTCAATTATTTATTTTTTCAAAAAAAAAAAAAAAAACAGGAAGAAAACGGAGCCTCTGTCATACCGTCTAATCTTGAAGATTTTCTTGATTTCATTGTTCGGGTACGTAACGTTCTTGAAATATAATCAAACTTCTCGATAATAAATATTTTTTCTAGATTATTGGAATTTACATTTTTCGTTTATATACATTAAACCTTAATTTCTTGTGTACTAATTAACATTTTTCAGAATCACTCTGAGTCTGAATCTGTACACGTACGCAATAAACTACGTCTCCGCAACTTTTGCTTCCGCCAGCATCAACACAATTCCCGCACTCACCTTCCTAATCGCTGTCGCATTCAGGTACATATATTAAGAAAATTAATCTCGAGAAATCAATTAAATTTAAAAAAAAAATTATATATATATATGCATACATTATTTTCAAAAATTAACAATTTTTTTTTTTTTGGTTAAGAATCGAGAGTTTTTCGGTGAAGGATTTTCCGGGGATAATGAAGTTTGTGGGTTCCGTAATTAGCCTTTCCGGGGCATTAGTTTTCGCATTCGTAAAAGGGCCGAAATTAAATTTCATGAACCGGTCGAATGCTATTTACAATACAAATAATATTATTACTCATTTCACTACCAAAGAGAAGTCAATACAAGGTTGTCTGCTTATGCTTTCAGCCAACACTGCTTGGTCCTCCTGGATTGTCATGCAGGTTAATTAATTATATTTGACCATTACTTAATTAATTAATATTTATTTTGTTATTTCTTCAATGATTTAATTTAATTAATTTGTTGTTAATAATATAATATAGGCAAGTCTAGTGAAGCAATATCCAGCAAAAATTAGGCTAACAATGCTGCAGTGTTTGTTTAGCTGCGTACAGTCAACGGTTTGGGCAATGATTATGGACAGAGATAAATCAGCTTGGACACTTAATTGGGATTTAAATCTTTTTTCTGTCGCATATTGTGTAAGTTTCTATTTTTTTTTTCATTTACTACTATACATATGTATATATTAAATAATTTATTGTCTTTGTATTGTGTGCGCGCCTATAATTTTTAACAATTTAGTTTCATATAAAAAAATAAGAGTAATTATTTTTACGAATTTACGAATTGTGGCTTGGAACCAGGGGCGAGTCCACACTCAATTGATAAAAAATCCACTACAATATGTATATATTTAATCCACTCAACTTTTATTATTTAGTCCACTCAAAATCCAAACTATTTTAAAAAGAAGTCCTAATTATTTTTCCGAAAATTTGAACTCGCATTGTAACAAAATCCTAGACTCGCCACTCTTGGAACGTTTGTACTCGTCGTTAAAATTTTTTTACATTATTTTTTTTTTATTCGGCCTCTATTGATAAAATTCTGATTTCGCCACTGACTATGTCAAATTGACTTTTTTATACGTTTCTTCGTACAATTATAATATGTATAGAAGACATTTCATTTTATAACTCAGATATTCAATTTTCGACTGATTAAAGTACGTCTAGATGGTCATTTCTTGATTTGTCTATCAATTTTAAAAATAAATAAAAATAATATAGGAATTAAGAGTGTGATGGGCTTGAATTTTGTGACATCCCAAAAGAGTGGCATGTGTCACAATCCACACAATACAATATCATATGTCCAATGTCCATTAACAAGAAACTAGGATATTAGTAATCATTAAAAAGCATAAAAAAATGTTTTTTTTTTAAATATTATTTAATTAAATATATAATATATAACAATTAATTTAATTAAACTGCATGCAGGGTATAGTAGTAACTGGAATATCATATTGGCTGCAACTTTGGGTAGTGGAGAACAAAGGCCCACTTTTTGCAGTCACATTTACTCCATTAGCTCTTATTTTTACTGCTATCTTCTCTGCTTTTCTTTGGAAGGAGATACTCTATTTGGGAAGGTATACCTAATTTTTTAATTTAATAAAAAAAATGTATTTATTCAAATTATATATGTGAATTAATTAGATGTATAATTAATTTTTGTGGTGCAGTATATGTGGAGGCATATTACTGGTTGGAGGATTGTACTGTGTGATATGGGGGAAGAATAAAGAAGAAGCAAATAATATAATACAGAAATTATGTGATGATGCTAAAGAAGAGACCAATGTTATTACTACTGTCTAATTAATTAGTGCATTATGTGTCATAATTCATGATTCATAATTAATTATTGCTCTTTTTTGCTAATGTACAGTAGGATTCCCTTTTCTTTTTATTTTTATTTATTTTTTTGGCTTTTTTTAATTTTGTGAAAAATATATTACTAGTGATTAACACGAAATAGATATATATGATCATGTTGTGTGTGTATGTATGTATATATTTCTATAATTTGATTTTGACATGTGTGTGTTTGCTCTTAAAATGTTTGCCTTAGTTTACTTATTCAACTGTACAGATAACATTTTTTTTTAAATGTGGGAAAAATTGGTGTACTTATTATAATTTAATTAACTTGGTGCTGGACAATCTAACCCTCACTTTATAATAAAGATAGGCTTAATTCCACTTTGCACCCTTGAAATATAGAACTTTATCACTTTGCACTTTAAAAAAAAAAAAATAATAGTATTTTGCACCCTTTATAACACAAAGAATCATTTACAATGTACCCTGAATTAAATATTTAAAACCTAATGGGGGCATAAAAATATTTTCAGAGTGCAAAATAACAAATTAAATAGTTATTTTCTTCTACTTCCGAACGTAACTTTGAGCGTACAAAGTGCGGAAAAAAATTCACACCGAATTACTTGAAAAAATCACAAAAAATAAACATAAATTTTCGGTTGATGGGTCTTTTATTGTAATTGGTGAAAATATTTGGTATACATTTTTGGAAGAATACATAATTTTCAAAAAACTTGATAACAACGTAGTTCAATGAGTTTTTCTTTGTAGCACGGATTTTTGTGTTAAAAATATAAGTTTTAAATATGTTGACGAGGTGTATCTTTTTTTTGCACTTTGTAATTTGGAGAATATTGATGAATAAAAAAAAATTAATTCGACGTTTGGCATCCTAAACATTCATTAGCTTTAAAAATTCATTCAGAGTGCATTAATGCACAATTCATTATGTTTTGAGGTGCAAAGTGTTACTAATTTTTTTTAGGGGCTTTAAGATATAGATCCTGGTGAGAAAACATATTAGAACTAAATGACAAGTCTAACTAAACATTAGATTCACATCCTTTATAAATTTAATTCCAATAATGCCGCCACATCCAAAAAATAAAATATGCACCAAGTAATATTTAAACTGAATTTATCATTTTTTCATTCTACATTTAACATTTTTATTTTCGCATCTAGCATTTTTATTATTATTTTTTTCGTAGAACAATTTTATTTCTTTTGTATTTTCGTATTTTTTCATTTTTTTCTACATAATATTGAAAATTATAATTTTTTAATTTTTTCGGCCGTAGTCTTCTATAGAAACCCGTAGAACACCATAGGAACCTATAGTAATCTGTAGTCACATATTCTTAAAACCATAATTTCTCCTTTGAACCCTAGCCGTAGGACACCATAGACACCCATAGATACTCATAGGTATCTATAAACATGAAATCGAAAAATCTTAGATCCGCCCCACCAAACCGTAGATCTCCTCCACCAAACCCTAGATCTGCGACACCAACATCACCACGCCGCTACACCCACGCTGCCATAACCCCCCCAACGACGAGCACCACCGACACCATCCCCTCAGCCCTGAGCGTCGCCGCCCAACGAGCCCATCCTCATGACCGGCGCCGCTCACCACCAACGCCTTCCCCAGAGCCGCCGCCGCCGCAATCACCATCCCTCCCCACCGCCTCCAGCAACGCCATATAGTCGATTTCATGGTTATAGCCACCACCTCCTCTCAAATCATGGGGTGGAGTTGTGGCGAGAGATATAGCTTGGAGATCGAGAAAAATAAATCGAGAGCGAGAGCCAGAGACAGAGAGAGAGTGAGAAGAGAGAGCCAGAGACAGAGAGAGAGTGAGAAGAGAGAGCCAGAGACAGAGAGAGAGTGAGAAGAGAGAGCAGAGACAGAGAGAGCAGAGAGCGAGAGAACCCGAGAGAGAAGAAGAATAACGCAAAAAAATAGGTCTGAGAAAAACGTGAATAAGTGGGTTATAAGATTTAGGGTATAAGGGCAAGATAGGAATTAAAAAAAATATAAGGATGTGGGTCATATATTATTTCAATCTAAGAATTTAATTAAAAATTTGAATTTAGGTTTCGTATGAGGGGTTCATAGCATATTACCCCTTTTTTTAAGGTGCCAACTGTCAATAGCAATAACTCGTGATTAATTGCTATTAACTCGTGATTAATTGCTAAGTGATTCGCTCACGTCGTTGTCAATAGCCATTAATGGGTGTAGTGTAGTGGTCCAAATTACTGAAAATGCCACTTCCACTAATTCCAGTTCCCCACTCCATCTTCTCACTGCGCCTGTAATTTTATAAATGTGCACTTGTTCTTAAAAGAAATAGGAGTGGATTGTCGAATGGAATTTCCGATTTTCGATCTGATTTTATATTTTCGAAAATTATATGCATAACATCATCATTATTATTATTACTTACGTAATTTTTTTAGTAGTATATATAATTTTCGTATTGCGCTAGTTTCGCTCATAAAGAATAAAACAAAATTAGAAATTTTAAGTGCTAAAATGTCGATCTGATCAATCTGATTTCCAACCCTAACTCAAGAATCAATAAATAAAGATGTGACCTAAATATATAGGTATTCCAATTTTGAAAGGATGTGAACGAATCATGAATACAAAAATTATATTAAAAAAATATAAATATATGGTTGAAGTTGAAATAGGCTTTTCAACTCAATCGTGTATCTAAAGTTTTAATTAAATAAACATTCTTTAATTACTACAATAATAGTTTATTACATCCCTATATCAGAACAAGATCAATCTTGCTAGCTACAAATACAATCAACATATATGTACATATATATACATAGAGAGAGAGAAGCTAAGAGTCGAAAATATAATCAATCAAAAAATAAAAAAAATAAAAAAATGAAAATGGAGAAACAAAAGGCATATATTGCAGTGATAGTATTGCAGTGCAGCTATGCAGGGATGATATTATTCTCAAAGGCAGCTATGTCTCACGGAATGAAGCCTTCCGTTTTCGTTTCTTATCGACAGTCCTTCGCCACCGTTGCCTTGCTTCCTTTTGCTTTCTTCTTCCACAAGTAACTATATATTTACATATACGCATGCATGTGTGTTTGTGTGTTTGTGTGTGTGTGTGTGTAATTTTTTTGTTTGTTTTGTCAGAAAGGGTTGTGCTCCTCTTACATGGGCTGGAGCTTTCAAGATTTTCTTTGTTTCTTCATATGGGTATTATATTAATATTATTCTATTCCGTACATATACATATGTTATATTATTATATATGTATGATGATTTTAATTAATTAATTAATTAACTATATATACAGGCTTGCATTGAGTTTTAACCTAAACTTGGCTGGATTGAACTATATTTCTGCAACATTTGGTACAGCCATACTCAGCATAGTTCCTCCATTGGTCTTCATTATGGCTGTTTGTTTAAGGTAATTCATTTCTTATTTCATGATATATCAAAATTTTATAATAAACAACTAAAAATATGGTTTAAATAAAATAATTATATTTATCGGCAAATAAAGTAAATGGAAATGGGGATAGAATTTGCAACATTTGTCTATTACTTTATCTAATGATAATTAATTACTAATTTATAATGCAAAAAGCTCTTTATGCTTTTAAGTTTTATTAAGTTCATGAATCCCTACTTTAATTATGTTTTTTTTTTTTAATATTTATTAATTTCGAGTTGCGAGAAATTTGCTATGCTTCGTAAGCATAAATTGACCCCCACGACCACTTTAATTAGCTCAAAACATTTCGAGTTACTATTTGATTTTTCAGTTCCGATTTCATTGCCAACACTTTATAGATCAAACTCATCGTACATGCATGGTTGGCCGAAGAAAAAAACTTCAAAATTGAAAATAATAATCAATATTTTTTGTATTTTGTATTAAAATTTGAATTCCTCAAAGGAGCATGTGTCAATTGGCCGATGTTCGAATTCCATTGTCACAATCGCTATGTGGAACTTGTTACAAATGATTATCTTACTATTGCTTACGTCTCTCTTAAGGTTTGCAAGCTATTACACGAGAGTGTAGCAGTGCACCTAATTGGCTGCAGATTTTTTCATTATAAAAAATTAAAAATTAATAATCAATATTGCATAAATCTCCCATGTGTTAACTATTTAAGTAGCACCAAATAAGAATGCATCTTCAATATATATAGACTATGAATAATTGATTAATGATATTTATTAATAAAATAATAATAAATATATATATAGGATTGAAAACTTAGGCATAAGAAAGTGGCATGGAATGGCAAAGGTATTTGGTACCATGCTTTGTCTATCAGGAGCAATGGCATTCACTTTCTACAAGGGCCCACCTTTGTATTCCGATTCATCAAATCCAACGGCCCACAATTCTTCTCAAAACAGTACTCGCTCTAAACAGGATTGGATCAAGGGCTCTGTTCTCGCCATTTCCGGCCAATTCTTTTACGCCATGTGGCTCACTATGCAGGTTACCCCTCTCTTTAAGGGTAAACTACATTAGCCCCCTGAGGTAAGGTCTGTTTACAAAAAATCCCTCATGTTTCTATAATTACATACACCTCCCGTAATTTGTAGATTACTTACATTAACACCCTTTGGTAGAGGTTTGGATGTAAGAAATTTACAAACTGCTGGGGCTGGATGTATTTTATAAAAAATAAGAGGTTTTGTTGTAAATAGGTTTTACTTAAGGGAGGTGGTTGTAATTTACCCATAGATTTAAAAATACAATTTAGTCCTTTAAGTGCACCTCAATTCCACATTTGGTCCTCCTTATTCACAAAACAGCATATTTAGTCCCTCGTGTTTTAAAAAAATTAACATTTTTGGTCATTTTCGTCAATTTTTTGTTAGTGCATAACGGAATCAAGCATGTGTCCATCAATTGTTGAAATATGACGAACCAAATGTATTTTTTTTTATAAATTATGGAGACCAGATGTGAAATTGGGGCAAACTCGAGGGCTAAAATTATAAGTTACCGATGTCTTAATTATCATTAATTAATTACTAATACTAATAATCATATTTTTCAGGCCCCACTTTTGAAACAATATCCAGGTAAATTAAGGCTCACAATTCTGCAGTGTGGATTTAGTTCTCTCACAGCAACAATTTATGGGGCTGCTATGGAAAGGAATTTATCTTCTTGGAAGCTTGGCTGGAATATTGAACTTTTATCTATTGCCTATTGTGTATGTTCTTTTTTTTTTTAATTAATTTATTATATATAATATTTAATTTATTAATTAATTAAATAAAAATGGAAATTTGCAGGGGATAATTGTGACAGGATTAAGTTATTGGTTGCAAGCTTGGATCATAGAGAAAAAAGGTCCTGTTTTTAGTGCGATTTTCAGCCCTTTAGCACTAATTTTGGCGGCAATATTCTCAGCTGTTTTTCTTAAGGAAACTCTTCACTGGGGAAGGTTAGTACATACGATTTTGATTCGAAATTTTTCGAATTTTGCAAAATATTTTTTCATTACGATTTTCGAAACTTCAGATTTCCGATTTTTGTAAATTTTTTTAATGAAATTGGAAATACGTAGTAGATTAGTGCTTTTCTATTTGATTTTACTTGTGGGAAAAATATTTTCAAAAAAAATAATTTGTTCATTTTTTTTTTAAAGAAAATTAATAATAATTTGTTGTTTGTGATGCAGTGTTTTGGGTGGTGGGCTGTTGATTAGTGGGCTTTATAGTTTTCTGTGGGGTAGAAACCGAGAAGCCCGAATTGGGGCCCAACAGAAAATGGATAGTTCAATTGAGGAGGCCCGTTTTGACGGCATCGCCACGTCAGCATCCCATGAGAAAGAAATACAAATGATTCCGTGAATTAATTAATTAATTAATTAATGGTGGTTGTATTTCTTATAACATTTTGGGCTGTAAATTATATTGTATTATGGTTTGATTAGTTAATTAAAGTATTTGTTAATTTTTGTCCCATAACCTATAATTATAATTAATTTTTGTTAATCAAATGCCTAGCCGGACAAATAGTAACTTAAAAAACACAAAAATGGCATGCTGCCCCCTCCACACCTAATGATAAACTACGTCTTTTTAATCAGTTGGAACAAGTGAGCTTCAAATCCCGTTGTTAACGCTTGCTAAGTCGAGTTTATCACATATAATTAGCATACTATGATTTACGTTTGTTGTATGATTTGCAAACTGTTATACGAGATTATAGGTGCGGGTTCCTTCATTACTAAAATAAAAAATAAAAATAGATCTTTATATATTTGAATGATGAATTTTTAACACAAATAAATTAAAACATTTTTATTAATTTATTATTATTTAATATTAATTTCCTTGGATCCAATCCAATCCACCGGTGGAGCTTGAAAAGTCAACGTGCCAAATAACAGCATGCATGGTCAACAAATTAATTATGCATTATTAATAATGAGCAAACATTAGAGACCGGATGTGGGGCAAGATTAAAGGCTGGGGTGAGAGACACCTTTCGAAGGCCGGTAAAGAAGTGATGATCAAGGCGGTTTTACAGTCGATCCCGGCATACATTATGAGTTGTTTCATGCTACCCCAAAACTTTCTATCTGAAATTGAGTCTATTATTCGTAAATTTTGGTGGGGCAATGGTAAAAAAAAATGCATGGCTTGGTTATCTTGGCAGAAGATGTGCATGGCCAAAGAATTCGGGGGGCTGGGCTTGAGGGATATGCGATGTTTTAATATTGCTTTATTAGCAAAGCAATTGTGGCGCATCCAACACCTTCCTAATCTCTTATTATCTAGAATTTTAAAGGCAAAATACTTCCCAACTGGAGATGTGTGGTCAGCGGAGTTGGGAACAAGACCTTCGACGACTTGGCGGAGTATCCATCAGACTCGACCATATTTATTTCTTGGAGCAAGAATCCGAATTGGAAATGGTAATGCGACATCTGTTTGGAGTGACCCATGGTTAACAGATGTTGGTGGTTCTAAGATTTTTACAAAACGACCTGTTCACACAGCATTTCCCGACAAAGTTTCAGATTTGATCGATCCTTCAACTCGCTCGTGGAATGTGACTCTTCTCCAGGAGACCTTTTGGCTGGTTGATATCCAGCGAATCTTGGCGGTACCCATAGGATGTGCACAGGCTAATGATAAGCTTATTTGGAATTTGACGAAGGATGGTCGCTTCTCAGTCAAGTCTTGTTACCATAGTATTTTAACGAAAAATTGTCATACGAAGACTAATACTTTCGCTGGTGGGAGTTCTACGAGTGGAATGGCATCTAGGAACTGGAAGTTTATTTGGAATTTACCATTACCTCCAAAAATTCGCCTATTTCTTTGGAGAATCTGCGCTGACATTATCCCTAATAATACGACGCTCTTCAGACGTAAAGTTATTTCTTCCCCTTTTTGCAGATTTTGTGGCGACAAGTACGAGACTTCCACGCATGTGTTCCAGAAATGCAATGGTATAGAGGATGTTTGGTGTGCAGAACCCTTTAAATTGGAGCGCAAGGCTGAGTTCTCGTCTTTCTGGGGTTTGATGGAATTTATTAAAAGTCACTTGGACCACGAACATTTCTTGCTTGCATTGACCGTTATTTGGGGAGTGTGGAATGCTAGGAACAATGGTGTTCATAATGGAAGTCGTGCATCGATCAACGATCTACCATCTTGGGCTGCTGCATACCTACTATCATATCGCCAAGCTCAGAGTTTGAGAAGTTCCGTTGCACAATCGTCACCCCCTACCGCCTGGTCACCTCCTACTCCAGGCACAATTAAGATCAACTTTGATGTTGCACTTCCGGCAGATATGGACTTTTACAAAGTTGCGATGGTGGCTCGAGACTCGGAGGGGCGATGCAGTTGGTGGAGCGTTGCAAAACTCATAGGTCGACCTAAGGCGGTTGAGGGTGAAGCTCGTGCCGCTCTCTATGCAATGTCGACGGCAGTGGCTAAGGGCTGGTCTTCAGTTATCATAGAAGGGGATTCATTGCAGATTATTAATGCCTTACGAGGAAGGGGATTCCTAGACGCGTCATATGGTGCTCTTCTTGATGATTGTTTTTTCCTTTTGAATTCTTTTTCTGATTGTTCGTTTTCATTTATCAAAAGACAGGGTAATTGTCTAGCCCATGCCCTTGCTCAGATGGCCGTTTTGGACCAACTTGAGGGTGATGTTCTCCCGTTTGATGTGGCTATTTATGCCTAATATATGATCCTTTCTCTCAAAAAAAAAATAATGAGCAATCTGCGTCTTATAAATTGAATTGAACAAAACAAATGTATTTAGTAAAATAATTATATTGCGGTGTGCATGTAAATGAATAATAAAAAAAATATATATATTCCCTTTAATTGTGGATTTGTGCAAAATTAACTCATTGACTTAGCTTTAGGCAATATGAAAGGTTGAGATTTGAGGGGTGAAAATGGCCTTTCATAACATTAAAAAAAGACCGTTGACTTACTATTTATTTAATTTTCACCTTTTAAATATTCCAATAATTAGTGCTAAATAGAGTGATACATAGGTTTTATCTATCCTACACCCGGTGAAGGTTACACCGGGTGATTTTTTACCGTTGATCTACACATACCAATGTGGGTGTGTGTGTGTTTGTGTGTATATGAATGGTAAAGATCTACCCGGTGTATTTCACCCGGTGTAGGATCTCAAAAGCCGTGATACATACCCCTCAACGATTTCTTACGTGTACACTACTTTTGTCTTATCCTCATACACTTATTAAACACTAACAATTACTATCAATAAAATTATTATTATTATTATTATTATTATTACCTGAAATATAAATCATTATCTGTACCTCTGTTTATGCTGTTTCAGTACCAAAAAAAAAACCAGCGAGGAGGCCCGTGAAGCGGATTTAACAGTGTGTGTGTGGGGAATCCGACAGAAGGGAGTGCAAGAGAAGAGACACTTTCCTAAGATTTGTAGAGAGAGAAAGTATTCTGGAAGAGAGAGAGAGAGAGATAGAGAAACGCGTTCACTGAGACATTTATTCAAACACCTGGACCGCAAAATCACATACACACACATACACTTGCAGATACAGAACAACTGTGGTCCTCAATCCTCCATGGACGCAAATTACAAGGTTTACCCCTTACCCCTCCACCCCCCACCCTACCCGTTCTTACATTTCCGGCATTTTCGCTTCTGGTCGATGTATCCGAGTTGTCTCTGCATTCATGTCTGTTCTAATTTGATTGTAGAAAATGCGAACTCGTGATTTTTTTTTTTTTTTTTTATTTGAAGTATTATGGTACTTGAATTTTTATTTCTATTTGCTCATGATTCATCAATTGATGCAGAATTAAATATGAAATTAGAAGCGGGAAACTGATTATTGTTTGTGTACTCCATGTGAGATTCTTCTTCTTTTAGGGGGAATCTTCTTTTCTTCCTTTGTGCTTTTCCTCAGCCATCTCTTTTTCCCCTTTGCTCTTAAGCTAAGTAAAAAAAAAGGAATGGGTTTTCTCACTAAACAATAGATGCCAAACTATTCGAAATTCGAAATTCAAACTCCAATCTTTCGAAAATTTGCAGAAAGTTCGATAAACAAGTTCACCGTTACATGTCTTTTCGAAGCATAGCTCGAGATATAAGGGATAGTATCGGAAACTTGTCTAGGCGGGGCCATGGAAAGTCCCATGGTGCTGTTCACGAGGTGCACGATCGGCCCGAAGTGGTGGTGCAGAGCGGTTGTTGGGCGGGGCTTCCGCCGGAGTTGCTCCGAGACGTGATTAAGAGGTTGGAGGATAGTGAGTCCACATGGCCCGATCGAAAGCACGTTGTTGCTTGTGCAGCTGTTTGTCGGTCTTGGAGGGAAATGTGCAAAGACATTGTTCGATGCCCTGAATTTTCCGGAAAATTGACCTTCCCTATATCCCTCAAGCAGGTATTTTTTTTTTATAATTATTTAATGTAGTCGATAATATACTTCATAGTGTAAATAGTTGATCGGCGATGAATTTGTTTTTTTTTTCTTTTTGCAGCCGGGGTTTCGAGAGGGACCGATTCAGTGTTTTATTAAGAGAGACAAGTCTAGTTTGACCTACCATCTGTTTCTTTGCCTTAGCCCTGGCAAGTTTCTTCTTTCCGATTTTTTGGCTCGTTTTTTTGATTTCTTGGAATGAATCTATGGCTGTTTTAGATTCGAAGTCCGTGTTTTTTGTTAACGCAGACATCGAGTAAATTGGTTAATTCGGTTATTTCTCGTTCGTGCTTCCTTCAGTGAAAGTTGTGTGTGTTTTCGAAATTAATTTATCTTCCTTGGAAAAAATTGCATGCTTAATCTTGAATTAAGGTTGTCGGTTACTTTTGAATCTTGATTATGGTATAATCAAGATTTCATATGATTATATTTTGAATTTATCTTATTTTAATCAAAGTCTATAAATATTAACTTAAAACTCAAAATATGCTACACTGTTGCAGCTTTACTTGTAGAGACCGGTAAATTCCTTCTCTCCGCAAAACGAAATCGCCGAACCACTCACACAGAGTACATTATCTCAATGGATTCCGACAACATATCGAGATCGAACAACACTTATATCGGAAAACTCCGGTGAGTCCTAATGCAAATAAATAAATAATATATATATCTCTATTCCCCTCAATTTATTCGTAATAACATTACCTTACCGATTAAATATAATCAGCTCAAATTTCCTCGGGACCAAGTTCGTAATATACGACACCCACCCGCCTCACAACACCTCCTCCTCCAGTACCCTCCCGCCACCTGGCGTAGCCACGAGCCACTCGAAAAAAGTCTCCTCGAAAGTTCCTAGTGGGACCCACAGCATCGCCCAGGTCTCGTACGAGCTCAACGTGCTCGGCACGCGGGGCCCGCGCAAGATGCACTGCGTCATGCAGTGCATCCCCGCGTCCTCTCTGGAGCCCGGTGGGTTCGTTCCGGGCCCACAGGAGCTCCTGATCCCCAGCACCCTCGGGGATTCCTTCAGGAGCGTCGGGAGCTCGATAGAATTCGGCAGCGCGAGATTTTCGGACATTGTTGTAGCGGCCCCCGACGAACGGGATGACGTGGCTAAGGATGGGCCTTTGGTATTGAAAAATAAGGCGCCTAGGTGGCACGAGCAGCTGCAGTGTTGGTGTTTGAATTTCAGGGGGAGGGTGACGGTGGCCTCGGTGAAGAACTTCCAGCTTGTTGCTGCGGTGGCACAGGCGGTAACGGCTGGTGGTGGGCCCACCGCGGCTCCCGCGAACACTCCGTCCGATCAGGATAAGATAATATTGCAGTTCGGGAAAGTTGGTAAAGATATATTCACTATGGATTATCGGTACCCTTTGTCTGCATTTCAGGCTTTCGCCATCTGTTTGAGCAGCTTCGATACCAAACTGGCGTGTGAATAGCAATTTTTTTTTTTTTGTTATTTATTCCATGTTCGTTTTCTGTTGTTAGTTACAGTTGATCTGCCTCAAGTAAATTAGATGAATCTGTTTTTAATTTTGTCTGTAATACAATCACTTCTCTTCTTGCTGTTACAACCGTCTTTTTCTGGGGGGCAATTTAGTAATTTTGTTAATATGCCTGTAGAAACCGTATACGAATACGACGAAGAAAACGGGACGGTACAATCACTTTCTCTTCTTGCTGTTACAACCGTCTTTCTTTGGGGGGGCAATTTAGTAATTTTGTTAATATGCGTGTAGAAACCGTATACGAATACGACGAATAAGACGAATAAAACGGGAGGGATTGAGTATTTGATATATTGATTATTAAACAAGGTGATCAATCCAAATTCCAAACAGAAGCTATTAATAATTGATTCTATTAAATAAAAACAAATCAAATGAAATTTGATTCTGTACACTTCATCCCCACCAAAAGCTTTGAACACTTTCTTCATCACCTGGACAAAAGACAGCATCTTTAAAACCTTAAATTCACTTTCGATTCTTCACAAGTACTATATAAGTCCGGTCGGATTTCGAACAGAAAACAAGAAACAAATACGAAAATGGAAATTAAACTCAACTCACCAATATTCAGAAACGGAGGAAGCTTCTTCGTTTCGATCAAGGGGTAGAGGGGCGCCATGGTAATTTTGACAGATTACGAGAAGTGAGCACGCGATAGTAGGATTTCTCGAACTAACTCAACAACGACATCATGATACTTTCATGCTAACGAAAACGAAAAAAAGAAATCGGACAGAGTAACGTTTTGCGGTACAAGTTAAAAAGACTCGAAAAAAATGATGGGAAGTCGGGACCGAACAACCTATGCGTATATATACACTACATTGTTTCGTATAATTCCACATAATATGACATCGGATTTCAGCTTTCCTGCGTGTCGTGAAGCTGATTGGTCGAATTAATCCCACTAAACAAATTGTTAATACGGGATTAAGCAGTCCTTATCTTGTGAGATTAGTGGAATCTAGACTAAAAGTAGTATTAATGGATGGTTTATTTCTTAAATATTATGGTGTTGCTTTTCTTGCTTTATTGGAATTTGATAATCATCACACCACCCCTTCAACTGTGCAATCTCATGCTGCCCACTTAATCCCTTTTTTTTAAACCTTAATCTTCTGGTAATGACTAATTAATTACCTTTTGATGGCATTGAATAATTGTTGTACAATTTTTTTTTTTGATTAATTTTTTTGAGGAAGAAAAATTAATAAGAAATAAAGTTCTGGTACACAAGTGCTATTCACCTAACTAATTACAGAACTGTCGTTCAACAATAATTACAGAATTAACAATCAATAACTAATTATAGAACTGCCACTCGTAATAATTTTGATTTACCACTAATCAGTAATTACAAAACTACTATTGACTACCTTTGTTTATACAATAAATTTGAATTAAGAAAATTATCCATTGGATTAAATCACTTATTCAAAGATGGTACTTGAGTTTCTTTCATCTATTATAGATAATATCAGTAACTAAGAAGCTCATAATAGGGGTGAGAATCGAACTGATCAGATAGAATTAACATTGGAAACAAAAACTAATTTCAATCCGTTTAAAAAAAATTAGAAAAATACAAAATCAAAACTTTCAAAGTTGCAATAAAAATTATATATTTCTCATATATGTAAATAAGTATATAAACGAATAAAAGAAAATATTAATAGAAGTGTAATAATTAAATTGGTGGAATTTGGGCCAAGCGGCCTGTCAATAATCAAACCGGTAGACCCGGTTAACAACCCGGATCCATTGCCCATCATACTTTTCAATGAACGGCCCAACCCAATAGGAAGGATTGCTTTTTTACTTTTTATTTATTTATTTATTTATTTATTTTTTATTTTTTATTTAGAATTTTGAGAAAAGGTGGCCTGAAAAATGATATTCACAAACATAAAGGAGCTGAACACAATTTATCAAAATCATTTGCTAAACTGAATTATTACTCTCGAACTCCGGCGTAAAATCAGTAGAAAAAATACAAGATTTTCAATTTCCCCCCCCTCCCCGAATCGAGAAGGCATATGAAATTCGAAAACTTGTTCGAGGTATTGTTAATTTCATGATTTCCGATTTTTTTTTTTCTTTCAATCTGCTCTAATTTACTCTTCGTTTTTCTGCCCCTTTTCTTTTTTAATTTTATATTTTTTTTTTGTGATTTATGCTCAATTCTCGGTAGTTCTCTGCTTGAGCTGAATCAATTGAACAGATGCTGTAGTTTAATTTGATTTAAGGTATCGTGCGAACTTAATGTTTGTTAAAAATGCACAATTTTGTGATTCCCTAATTTTCTTCTGAGAGTTGAAGACTAGTGTACAGTAATTTTTTTTTTTTTTTTTTTTTTTAATAGTCTGAGTAGTATATTTTTTCATGTGGGTATTATAAAAAGTTGAATTTTCCGTGCAAAAATTGAATGATCTGCTATTGAACTCTGATCATATTCAAGATTGCTGAGGTAAAGCTGATATTTACTGGATCCAAGAAATATTTATCTTAATAGAAAATCAGTGAAATTTTCTTCGATGATGAGTAATTCGTAATTGTCTAAAAAATAAATAGATAATAATAATAATAATAATTAAAAAAAATAAAGAATCATTACTTCGTTTCGCAGGGTCCAACAATGGAAGACCAAAAACGGGACGTGGCGAATGAGTTCAGTGTATACGCACGGCCAGTTGTTGCTGGAGCGTGGAGGTATTATGAACTCTCCATCGGTTTTGTTTCATTTCGCGGTTGTTAATTTACTTTCTTTTACTTCTGTACTAAGTGATTAGGGTTTTTTTTTTAATTCTTTTTTTATTTTTTTTAGAGGGAGGTTTAATATCCCGACTCAGAGTTTAGATATCAATATAGTCGGCCACGTCTCGAACAAAGCTTGTATGAAAGTGTTGGAGGTAGTAAGGACAATGCCCGGGTTATTATGCTTGGAAATGATTCCGCGCGTCGATGTATGGCCCACATCCTTTAATAGTTCTCCACCTACCGAACAAAGTGTTGCACTGTTTTTCTTTCCCGACGGAAGGTGACGGAAGCAAATTAATTTTATCATCATTTCTTTATTTTCCTTATGGTTTCCCGTTTCCCCCTATTTAATGTTTACATGCAAACGTCTTCCAACAGAGATGAAGATGTTTTTGATAGCCTGCTGAGTTACGCAATCTACACTGATTTTGCCCTTAAAGCAATGATTGGCGACGCTGAACTCTTGATATTCACTTCTGTCCAATTGCCCGGGAAGCTTCACAGTGAGTCGAAGAATAATTATGTGTGTGTGTATATATATATATACACATGTGTGTGTGTACAGAAGCATTAATTGTATTTTCCATTCGTTTGAATTTGCAGGATTTCAGGGGAAACCATATTTTTGGGGAGCTTTCAATCGAACTGAACACCATGTCCAGAGTCAAAACCCTAAAGTGAGGAAGAGTTTAACTCCACATTCAGGCAAACAAAGGAAAACCGACAACACAGGAAGCCCAAAAGCCATTTCAAGCAAACAAAGTCCTTGTAAGTCCTTTGAGAAACGTTGTTAGTCGTGTTTGTACTTTGCAATCCGTATTCTCGCTGCTTACCTGAGAAGTATCATCATATAGTTTCTTCGTGAGAGAATCTGCAGTAGGTAATAGGTTCTATTAGACGTCGTTGAATTTGTATGCTGAATAAATCCCTTCTATTTTTTTTTCTTCCCATTTCGCCCTTGTGTCTGAGGCAATTATTGCTGACATATAACTGGGGGCGGCATGAATTTTTTTATCTTCCTTAAACCACCATGCATGGAAACTCTTGATTCAAACGCCGTTTATTCTAGCCGGTAACTGTTGTGGGAATTCCATGTAAACACTAGAATCTTCTTGTAAGACATGTTTACCAAACAGGGCCTTAGTATACCAGCACTATATGTCACGTGAACTCTTGTTTCTAGAGAATTTATTTACAGATTTGGCCTCATTCTGCTATTATTATGTAAACCCCGTAGCATGTGGTGGTCTTGCTTGACTTTCGTACCGCTTATTTATATTCATCTTGTATATCTGTTTCTAATAAAATCGACTGTGATGCACTTTGACGGGCGTTTTGACAGTCATGTATGCCTTTCTTTTTGCTTCTTTTCTTAATCCTCCTTTTGGGGAGATTAGCAACAGATGGTGCTAAAACTGAAAGGAGGGGGAGAAAATTAGACGACGCTTGGGGGCATGCCAATCCATTGGATGTATTGAGACAGAAGGCAGAGTGCAGATATTGTGGCTTTATCTCTTCGCACGGAGGCATTTCGCGCTTAAAGGCACATCTCGGTGGAGGTCACCCTAGAATTCGATTACCAGGTTGCGATAAAGTGTCGCCTCCAGTCAAGAAAGTGATGTCTGATTGGTTCATCGAATGGGTTAGATACACCAAAGCTCTTTGGACCAAGGAAATTAGAGGTATGCTGCCCCATCTATTCAAAGTTCAAGAAAATCTTGATAGGTATCGGATTTTTCTATCCTGGTTAAATTTTTTTATTTTTTTATTTTCTGATTTATGTGTATTAGCCGAATTGGGAGTACAAGTTGATGAAATGGGAAGGCGATATGATGTTTCTCTGGGACACACCAAGCCATCGGATGTATCGCATAAGAAGAAAGCAAAGAAATCGACCGCTCTATTCTCGCCCGAAACTAAGGGAGTCATATCCGGTTGGCCGAATAGTTTGACAGTATCTACCATGGAAATGTCTCAAGGTATATATATACACCTATCAGTAAGAACTGATTCGATTTTGAACATGGGATTAAAGACAAATTCCTTTTTTTTTCTTTTTCTCATGTATGCAGCAGTTAGTATGGAATCCGAAAGGAGAGGAAGACCGTTAGATGGTGCATGGGAGCATGCAAAGCCGTTGGATGAAGCTAGGCAAAAAACGCAGTGCAATCACTGCGGTTATGTTTCTTCGTACGGTGGAATTTCCCGTTTAAAGGCTCATTTGGCAGGCGGCTCTCATGAAATGCAGTTAGAGGGCTGCCCTCATGTGCCGCCACAACTAAAAAGAGTGATGGAAGAGTGGTTTAATGAGTGGACGAAAAACTCAACCGCCACCTGGACAAGAAAGTCTCATGGTAAAGCCGTTAGAGATACATAAATAAAGTTGTTTTTTTTTATAATTATTATTATTTTTTTAACTTCTTGAAACAGATGGCAGTGGCAATCCTTCGAAGAGAGGGAGGCCAAGAGATGACACATGGGATCATGCTATACCGTTGGATGAGATGGGAGAAGCCACGAGATGCAAGTATTGTGGTTATGTATCTAAACGAGGCGGCATTGCACGAATGAAGGTGCATTTGGCTGGCGGAGATCCAGCGGCGCAGCTGGTGAGTTGCCCTAATGTTTCTTGGGAAGTCAAAACCTTGATGGCTGCTCAAGGAATCAAGAAATACCCGAAGAAATCGAAAGGTGTACCGATGGAGAATTACGAATCCTCACATGGTAAGAAACTTTCTTTAATCACCATTATGTCATAAACGAAACCGGAAAAAAAGAAAAAAAAGAAAAAAAAAAACTTACGCATGTTTTTTTTTTGGTTGACAGAGAGTCAGAGAAAAACGGGCGAAATCATCTCGTTCGAAAAACGACATCACATACTCAGAGAAACTCTTGACCAGATCACAAATTCGAGCGTGAAAGATAGGCTTCAGAAATTAATACAAGGGAAGAGTGAAAATCTGCATGAGATGCAATTCGAAATTCAATCACTTGAGAGTCAGTTGGCTTCAATGCCTTAGCAGATTTTTTTCGATGGATCCAGATTTTCGTCTTTAGTCGATATTTTCTACCGGAGTTCAGACATATGGATTGTATTTCTCTTGTCTTCCCTAGGTGTAATTTGTGCCCATATGATTGTGTCTAGTTGAACAAAAAACTTGTGGATTATAATTTGAATAGTAGCTATTAACTTACTATTATTGTCTGAAATTATGAAAGCTTATCAGCTGTGGTTTGGAGTTCTTGACCATCATGGTTTACATTCTAATTTAATTATTTTCAAAACGGATAAAATGATTATTAATTTAAAAAAAATAATTACTATTAATATATTAGTAGTATTATTATTATTTTCAATAAATTGATGGGAAATGATAAAGATGCTGAAGTTGAAGATGCTAATTCTACCAATATATGTCAACTTCAAGAATCAAAAGAAAATTACAACATATTTTGTTAAAGTATATACATGTATTGTACTAGTATTTGAAGAGATTTATATGCATTATTAATTTAAACATTGTATGAAGCGTATAAAAATCTAAAAATAAATATTATTTTATAACATCTTTTCCCCGATTCGAATCAGGAAAAAATATTATTTAAACAAGTTTATTAATTTATCGAGTATTGGTTTATCGAAGCTCTACCCTATATAAATTAAAGGCACTAGGTATGGCGTATCTTTGTAATTCTTGTATTCAACCCATGTTACAATGTCGATAATTAAATTTTGTTCTCGAATAATAACTTTAAATATGATTTGACTGGTAATTTATTTTTGTCCCTCCAAAAAAGATAAATAAGTAATAGTTTCATTTTCAAATTCTTCCCCGAAAACACTTTCACAATAATAAGCTCATAAACATAGTTTTAGACCCATGCTAAATTGCGCCTTTTATTTAAGCTCATAAACATATTTATGGACCTTTGCTAAATTGCGCCTTGGAAGCTCATGAAACATAGTTTTGGACCCATGCTAAATTGCGCACTTTTCTATTTCCTCCAACTTCTCCCATGCATAAATTGTTTTTGTCTTTTTCCCAGCTACTGCAGTACATATGTCTTTGCTTCTTCTCCTCTGTCGTCTGCAAATTACTCTTCACTAGGGTTTACAAAATATCCCCAAATACAACAACAGCAAATTGAGATTGTAATCTCTCGCGCCATTCATGGTATACTACTCTAATCCTCCTTGTTTTTCAAGTTTTTTTTCTTTCTGATTTTTATCCGATTGAGTATCTTACGTCACATTTGGAAAATGCTGTTTTTTTTTTTTTTTTTTTTTTTTTCCGACTCTGCCATTCTCTTCCTGTAGATTATGTCTGCGTTTTGTTGCAGGTTTTTTTTTTAAATATCTTAGGCGCCTATATTTGAATGGGGTTATGGTGGGGAGGAATTGGGGAAAAATTTGATGAACTGGTTCTCGTTTTGGTTCTGCTTTTCCGTACTGTATTATTGGCTTGTGTGATAATCGACATGTGTATAAATCCATTACACAGGGGACAATTTGCCTGCTGTGTGGCGATAGGGGATTCGCTAAGGCCTTTGTGGACTGTGTCAATTGTCTCGATGCTTCTGTGCACATGTAAGCAGCCACATAGTATTGATGTGTGTGTGTGTGTGTGTGTGTGTGTGTGTGTGTGTGTGTGTGTGTGTGTGTGTGTGTGAGTGTAAATTAGTGAGATTTGGAGTTTTAAAAAATTATCAATGTTCTTCATTCGTTTAGTTTGATTACATATTGCGGGTAGTGTGGATGATTGATTGATAGCGAAGCCATTTTTTTTTGCTGTTTGTGGTTTTGTTGCGTAAACGTATATTTAGCTTCTTACTCGTTCGGCCTCGAGTTAAACTATTTAACTACGCTCGACATACTTTTGCTATATTTTTTCTCGTCCTGCTTAAGTAGTAAGTAAGCTCTAGTAAATTCAGTGGAAAAATGAAAAAAACGACATCGAGTTTTTGACAGGGCTTTTTGATGATTTTTTACCGCCCTACAAGCAGTCGTACCGTCTTTAATTTGTTTAGCCATTAACTAGTTCTTGATTGTGTTTGTCAACGGTTTGATTTTTTTTTTTTCCCAGCTACTGTCTGGGATTGGATGTAGAAGAAACATGTGATGAAGATTTTCGTTGGGTTTGTGAAGACTGTGAAACAGAAGCACATATAGTTTCTACGGATATTGAACGCTTTTCTAAAGATGGAAAAAACGAAAACGATCCCTCGGCAGTTCAAACAGAGGAGCGTGTTTACGAAGATGGCGTTGAGCAGTCATATGAAGGTGTTCTCATGCAATTCCTGCGGAAGGAATATGCCAAGTGTAATTGGCCGAGAAGGAGAAGTGTTAAAAGATCAACTGTGAAGAAATACAAGCACAGACTTTGTAACACACCTTCCAAACGATATTACGACAAACACATAAAAACGGTCATGAAGGAGTGCACCAGATCAAAGGATGATTCTACATTGTCTACTAAAGTGAAAAAAAGAGAGGGTCCCAGTTTAGAAGATCATTGTGCTGAAATGGCTGTAGAAAATGATTTTCGAGAAAATTTAGATATCTCGTCTGCCGTGCCAGTTGTCATGCCAATATGGAGGTGAGGAAGACTCGTAATATTGAAAAACAATATTACATTATGTCACGAATAGTTTATTGCTCTGCTGATAGGCGATTCTGCTATTGACAGGGGAAGTTTCAATATTCGGAACGAAAATCGTGATATAATCGATGGGATTATAGCTCACATGTCTAGCAAAGCACGCGGAAATGTATATGATGAGGCGAGTCAGTTTCAAGTGGTGCTTGATCTTGAAATGCTTCCAGTATCCGACGTATGGCCCAAAAGTTTCGAGAAATCTGAACCGAGCTGCGTTGATATCGCACTCTATTTCTTTCCATCTGAGATAAGGTATGGGTTTTATTTTACTTTTTCACCTTCATACCTTCGATTTACGTGCTTTTTGATTGAACCACGCCTTTAACATTTTATCAACGGTAAAGTGAACGAATTTTCGACGGCTTGGTGGAGGAAATGATGCATAAAGAGCTTGCGTTGAAAGCCTTTCTGCAGAACGGCGAGCTTTTGATTTTCACTTCAAAGGAATTGCCGATTCTGTACTGGAGTAAGTTCGAGTTCATCAATTAGCTGCGTATTTTATATATTTTTTTTACGGTGACACAGTTGCCCTTTTAACAAATAAACGAACCTTTCTAGACTAAATAGTTTCACGTGCAGGATTTCAAGGCAAGTATTATCTATGGGGAGTATTTAGGGGTAGTAAGCAGAGCAACGAATCGAATTCTCATTCATGTACAGAGAAATTGGATGCGATCATTCCGATAGCAACAGCACCTACAGAGTTCCTGAGTGGTAATGCACATTCTCACTAGTTACGTTTGCTATTATTATTAATTCACCCGTTTCGAAATCTTGATTGCGATGCATTTGGCTTGGTATTTTCGACAGTTATACATACCTTTCTTTTTCGCTTCGTTTCTTACTCTTTCTTTGTGGAAACTAGAAACAGATGGTACTAAAACTGAAACACGCGGGAAACAACTAGATAATGGTTGGTTACACGCCTATCAATTGGATGCACCAAGAATCAAGGCAGAGTGCATTTACTGTGGATTTATTTCTTCGTATGGAGGTATTTCGCGCCTTAAGGCACATCTTGCTGGAGTCCACCCCAAAATCAGAGGGCTACCGGGTTGCGATAAAGTGTCGCCTGAAGTGAAGAAAATCATGTCCGATTGGTTCTGTGAATGGGTGAAAAACTCGAAAGTTCTTTGGAACAAGAAAGTTAGAGGTATGCCGTATTTTTATTCTGTAATCTTTTTTGTCGCCGGAATGTATGTAAGATGTGTTTAATTTTTTTTCCGTTTCTCTGCTTTATGTATTAGCCGAAATGGGAAGGCGAGGTGATGTTGCTGTGGGACCCACCGAGCAGTCGGGTTTAGCAGCACGTAAGAGGAAAGCAAAGAAATCGATCGCCTTATATTCACCCGAAATAGAAGCTAGCGATATTCTGTGTAAGAGGGGAAGGCCTACTGCACTCGATCAGATCACAAATACGAGCGTAAAAGATCGACTTCGAAAATCAATACAAGGGATGAACGCGAATCTACTTGAGATGCAATTTAAGATTCAATCACTTGAGAGACAGTTGGCTTCAATGCCTTAGCAGATTTTTGCACATTGATCCACATTTCATCTTTAGCTGATTTTTTTTTTTATTTTTTTTTCAATCTAAGTTCAGATATATGGATGTATCGTTGTCTTCCAAGGTGCAATTGTTCTATTTGTATATTGTCTAGTAAAACATATTTTCAGAAAATTAAATCGGATCGAAAATCGGAATCTCATACATATTCCATTTGCAATCTTAAAGAAAAAATAGATCGAAATCCGGATATTTCGTTCAGAATTTCATCTATTTTCAACTATTTTTATAATAGATATGTGTAATTACTATTTTGGTGTATTATATTAATATGAATAACAGAATAAAAAGTTGTAGTCATAATTTATTACTATTAACAATTTTTATATATCTAAAAAATAATATTATAATAAATTAAAAATTAGTTAACTCTAAATAACTCACTTAAACATAAAACAAAGAGGACAATTCCAGAATAAATAAAGGAAATCAGGAAAAAAAAATTAAGAAAAAATCTGCTGCCACGTGGCATTTCATCAAACACACAGTCACAAAATAAAACTAATAAAATATTCGAAATCCGATTATTAGTTTTGGACCCATGCTAGATTCCGCATTTATTTTTATTTCCCTCCCATGCATAACATTTTTTAGTACTTTGATTCAGCAATTATGCTTTTCGCTGCTACATTTGTCGTCACTGCTTCTTCTTCACCTCTCTCTTTCTTCTTCAATTGTTCTTCTTCACTAGGGTTTACAAATTAACCCCAAACACAAGAACAGCATTCATGGTACTCCTCCTCCTAATTCCCTCGTCTTTTTCTTAATTAAGATTTTCTGATTTTTTATCTAATGGAGTATCTTACGTCACATTAGGATTTTTTTTTTTTTTTTTTTTTTTTTTTTTTGCCGGTTTAATCGCGGAAATTTTCTGATTCCTCTTTTCTCTTCCCACAAATTGGGTTTTTTTTTTGGCGCTGCGTTTTGTTTTTTGTTTGTTCGCTTCCTTCCTGCCCCTGGTGGCTGGTGGTAGTCAAAGTTATTTTTGCAGAAGTTTTGTTTTTTTTTTTTTTTTTTAATGGTGGAGAGGAATTGGGGCATAAATTGACGAGTACTTGTCGCAGTAACTTTTCATTAGTTTGCTCAATTAATCATCTCAATTTGAAATTGATTGATATTTCTCGTTTTGATTCTGGTTTTCCATACTGTATTATGAACTGTATATCAAACAGCTTGTGTATCTATTACACAGGGGACAATATGCTTGCTGTGTGGCGATAGGGGATTCGCTAAGGCCTTTGTGGACTGTGTCAATTGTCTCGATGCTTCTGTGCACCTGTAAGCCAACACAGTAATTGTGTGTGTGTGTGTGTGTGTGTGTGTGTGTGTGTGTGTGGGTGTGTGGGTGTGTGGGTGTGTGTGTGTGTGTGTGTGTGTGTGTGAATTAGAGATGTGAAAGTCCTGAAAAATCATCAATGTTCTTCATTGTTTTCAGTTTGATTACAGATTTTTTATGAACTCTTTTTTTTTTTTGTTTGTTTTTTTTTTTTGGTTTCAGCTACTGTCTGGGACTAGATCTGGATGCGATAGAAGAAACTTGGGATGAAGATATTCATTGGGTTTGCGAAGAGTGTGATGAAACAGAATCATATATAGTTTCGACGGATATTGAACCCTTTTCCGAAATCAGAGAAAATGAAGACGATTCCTCGACAGTTCAAACAGAGGAGGAGCGTGTTTACGAAGATGACGTTGAGCAGTCATATGAAGGTATTACTCGTACGCAATTACTGTGGAAGGAAAATGCCAAGTGTAATTGGAGGAAAAAGAGAAGTGTTAAAAAATCAACTGTGGAGAAATACGAGCACAGACGTTGTAGTGGACCGTCCAACCAATCTTATGAGGAACACGTGAAAACGGACGTAAACGAGTGCACCAGATCAAAGGATGATGCTACACTGTCGTCTGAAATGAAAGAAAACGAGGCGCTCGGTTTAGAAAATCATTGTTCCGAAAACGACCATATTGAAAACGAAGAGGAAGAACCGATAGATGTAGAAAATGATTTTCGAGAAAATAATTTACTTATCTCATCTGTTGCGCCAGTTGTCATGCCAGTATGGAGGTGAGCAAGAGTTCTCATAGTATGGAAACAATATTACTTTCGTTTTTAGTTTACCGCTCTGCTGATTGGCGGTTTTGCTCTAATTAATGACAGGGGAAGTTTTAGTATTTGGAACGAAAATCATGATATAATAGATGGGATTCTTGCTCACATGTCGAACAAAGCATGCGAAAAAGTAAACGAGGAGGCGTCTCAGTTTCAAACGGTGCTTTATCTTGAAATGCTTCCAAAAACTGATGTATGGCCTAAAAGTTTCGAGGAATCAGAACCGACTGGTGATAGTATTGCACTATATTTCTTTCCATCAGAGATAAGGTATATATATTCGTGTTCTATTTTACTTTTTCACCCCTTCGATTTATGTGCTTTCTGATTCAACTAAGAGCCTTCAACATTTTATGCAATGCAATGTGAAAGCGAACGAATTTTCGACGGGTTGGTGGAGGAAATGATGCATAAAGAACTTGCGTTGAAAGCCCCTGTGCACAATGGCGAGCTTTTGATTTTCACTTCAAAGGAATTGCCAATCATGTACTGGAGTAAGTCCGAGTCCATTAACTTGCAAAATGTTTTTTCATTTTGACATAGTCCACGAAAATAAAAACAATAAGCAAATAAACGAACTTTTTTAGACTGAATAGTTTGCCGGTGCAGGAGTTCAAAGCAAGTATTATCTATGGGGAGTATTTAGGAGTAATAAGCAGAGTAGCAAATCGCATTCTCGTTCATATACAGAGGAATTGGATGAAAACAGCCCTACAACAACAACACCTACAAAGTTACCGAGTGGTAATACACATTCTCATACATTACGTTTGCTGTTATTCCCTACTCTATAAGATGACTGGAAAAATGTAACGGTGTTTCTAAATTTCGACTGTGATGCATTTGGCGGGTATTTTCGACAGTTAAATTTGCGTTTCTTTTTTTCTCATCTTCTTACTCCTTTTCCTTGTGGAAATTAGCAACGGATGGTGCGAAAACTGAAAGAAGAAAGGGGAAACAATTGGATGATGCTTGGAGACATGCCAATCTATTGGATGGATCGAGACAGAAGGCAGAGTGCAGGTTTTGTGGGTTTATTTCTTGGTACGGAGGCATTTCGCGCCTAAAGGCACACCTAGGTGGAGGTGAACCTAGATTTCGGTTACCAGGTTGCGATAAGGTGTCACCTCAAGTCAAGAAAGTGATGTCTGATTGGTTCACTGAATGGGTTAAAAGCACCAAAGCTGCTTGGACCACGGAAACGAAAGGTATTCCATGTTTCACCTTCATCGTGTGCTTATTTTAGTCGAGTCTTTTTGTGGTTAAATACTTGAGATATAATCGATTTGATTAGTGAACTAATTTCGATTTAAATCAGCTCCGTCTTGTGAAAGTTCAAGAAAATAACCCGTTTTGATTTTTCTTTCTCTGCTTTATGTATTAGCCGAAACGGGAGCATGTGTTAATGAAATGGACTAATACTTTTTTCTTCTGCAATTGCATTAATCCCTTGTTTTACTGATAGACTATTTTACTTGTAGTTATTTCAGCCGAAAGAAAAGGAAGACAGCCAGATAGTGCATGGGAACATGTAAAGCCGTTGAACGAGGCTAGGACAAAGGCACAATGCAATTACTGTGGCTTCGTTTCTTGTTACGGTGGAATTTCCCGTTTAAAGGCTCATTTAGCAGGCGGCTCTCCTCAAATGCAGGTAACGGGTTGTCTTCAGGTGCCGTTAAAAGTTCAAACAGTCATGGAACAGTGGTTTAATAGCTGGACAAGTAAGCTAATGCATTATAAGTGATCATATATACATTATAATAAAGTAATAATGTTACATGAAACAAATTTACTTGCACTACTTTTCTGTACAAACCATCGTTTGTTTAACGAGCTTTTTGTGTTTTTTTTCGAAATAGAAGGTAACGCTAATCCTTGTAAGAGGGGACGGACTACTCCGGATCAGATGACGAATACGAGCATGAAACACGTAAAGACTTCAAAAATGAATACAAGGGAAGACTCTCAATCTACATGAGATCGAATTTGAAATTCGATTACTTGAGAGTCAGCATGATTTACATTCCGATTAATTATTTTTGAAACTCAAGAAATTAGTTTTGGACAATTTACTGAGGCTTTGTTAAATATAAGAAAGTTAGTGAGACATCTTTTTTGTAATGTACTGGGAAATCATATGACCAGATTCTCTGTCCAACATTAATATTTGGAAGGACATGTTTCTTTAATTCTTGTATATTAAAAAAAAAATAAAAAAAAGTCCTATGTAACTGTTCTTACAGGATAATAATGAGAAGGCAAATACTGCTATTTTGGTGTTAGTTATTAAAGTCGTTCGAATTTGCGTCTGTATCATAATCTGAAATTTTTATAATAATAAAGAATAAATAAGTTTAAATTATTATTTTGAAAATAGGTTAAAGGTACTTTCTTCTAAATAAAATAAAATAAATTGTTGTAGTACTGTGATTCACAGATTTGTTTTTTGTTATTATTATTATTATTATTATTTTTTTTTTAAGAAATAAAAAAAAAAACAGAGAGAAGAATAAAGATATCGAATTCCGCCATTTTCGATTTCAAAGAATCAAAGCTTTGCTATCACTTTTCAGTTCTTGTTCTTGGAGTATTCTTGAGTGTTCTCTCTGTCAGTCATGGTATATCCCTATTCCCTCCTTTTCTTTTTATTTTTTTGATTCTTGAAACATTGCTGATTTTTTATCCGATGGAGTATTTTATGCACGTTGTGAATCTGTATATATCTGTGTGCGTATATATATATATATATATATATATATATATATATATATATATTTCCATATTATTAGTGTATGATGATTAAACTTTGTATAAATCCATGACACTCACAGGGGGAGATATGCGTGCAGTGTGGCGACAGAGGATTCACTAATGCCTTTGTGTACTGTGTCAAATGTCTCCGTTATGCTGTGCACCGGTAAGCATCTTCCCTCCCTCTCTCTCTCTCTCTCTCTCTCTCTCTCTCTCTCTCTCTCTCTCTCTCTCTCTCTCTCTCTCTCTCTCTCTCTCTGTGTGAGTAATATTGATAGTTGGAGTTCTAACAAAATCATCAATGTTCTTTATTCTGTTTCGTTCGATTACATATTTCGGTTAGTACAAATGATTTGATAAACAACCCTTTGTTTGTTTTTTTGTTTGCTGTTTTTAGTAAGTTGTAAGCTCTCGTAAATTCAGAGGAAAAACCGAAAAACGACGGCTTTTGAAAGGGTTTCTTGATTTTCTTTTTTGCTGTTTATTGTTTATTTTTTTCAGCTACTGTCTGGATGTAATACCAAAGACTTTCGATGAATACGTCCGTTGGCTTTGCGATGATTGCGAAACAGCGGAAAAAAACCGCGACAATAATTCCATCACATCCAAGAACAGAGCTACAGTTTTGAAGAATGTTCAAGAAATCTCCGAAAATGGAAAAAGGAAAAAAGATTCCTTATCAGTTCACACAGAGGAGCAACCGATAAAGGCCAAATCCAATCCAAGGAAAAAGAGATGTGTTCAAAAAACAACCCTACGCGATTCCACTACGCTACTTTCTAAAACAACCGAAGAAAACGAAACAAGTGTACAAGAAATAAACGAGCGTATCAAAATCGAAGAATCGGAAGACAAAGAACAGGGTTTTCGAGAAAATTTAAGCGTCTCATCAGCTGAGCCAGTTTTGAGGCCAATATGGAAGTGAGCGAGAGTCGTAAAAATTTGGACATGAAATTACTCTGTGTTGACGATTTTTTTATTTATTTTTTTAAATAAATAATTTGTCTGGTGTTTGATAAATGACAGGGGATGTTTCTCGATTTGGGATGAAAAACACGACATCGATGGGATTACAGCTCACACGTCCGTCAAAGCATGCGAAAAAGTACACGAGGAGGCAACTCATTTTCAAGAATCGCTCCATTTTAAAATGCTTCCGAAATTCGATATTTGGCCCAAACGTTTCGTGGATGCAGAACCGAGCGATGATAGTATCGCACTCTATTTCTTTCCATCCGAGAGTGGGTATAACTTCTAGTTTACTTTATCCCCCCCCCCCCCCCCCCCTCCCTCTTCGATTTATGATTGAACTAAATCTTGATTCTTTTTTTTTAAGCGATACAAAATTCGACAAGTTAGTGGCGAAAATGATGCGTGAAGAACTTGCATTGCAAGCCTTTGTGAAGAATGCGGAGCTTTTGGTTTTCACTTCGACGGAATTGCCAGTTTTGCACCAGAGTAAGTTTCGAGTCCAATTCGTCAAACTTGCTATACATATTTTTCAAATTTATTTTTTGCGAGAAAAAATATAAATAAATAAACGAACTTTTTGCGGTGCAGGATTTCAAGGCAAGTATTATCTATGGGGAGTATTTAGGGCTAAGCAGCGTAGCGAATCACATACGACGAATTGATATGTTCTAGAAGTTTCTAGAAACTTTGTTCCGTTTCGGCTCGATTTCTAACATGGAATGTGGTTGATATATATAAACCATAATGGTTATTCAACCTTGAAGAAACATAATAGAGTAGTTGTTAACAAATTGATCATTGTAGTTTGCAAATGGGGTGTTGGTGAAACAAAAATATAATTTGATGGGGTAATTTTTTATTTCTTAAAAGTTAGCTGCTCATTTTAGTAATTAGAACAAATATTAGGTAGCATAGCTGTCAGCAATTTTGTTTTCATTATAATTTTAGCTTATTCAACTGTTAATTTGTTAATCAGTTTTCAGCAATTTTGTTTTCATTATAATTTTAGCTTATTCAACTGTTAATTTGTTAATCAGTTTTCCCCTTGCTAAAAAAATAAAATAATAATAATAATAATAGTATTAAAAATTTATAAAAAAATTATATATTTTTTTAATATCAATTATTTAAAAATTAATAAAAAATCTGTAATATCAATTATTTACTGTTCACATTTTACGCAGTCAAAAAGGTTAAAAAGGATGTGTTTCCAGAGAGATTGATGGGTAACATGTTTGACATTATTAAGCCAAATAATTAAATAATGTATTTATTTATTTATTTATTAAATATATGTTTGAACAAAGATTAATTTATATATTTCAAAAGACGGACGAATTGAATCACATGGACAGTAGATTTTTCTAATCATAATATAATTAATTACGATAATCATTAATCACACGTCTCCGTGTATTAGGTGGACGGATATTTAAATTACTTGTCTACTTTAATATAATCTCTTTTTCAATGCTATATATAGGTGGTGTTTTTTAAAAGCAAAAGTTATGTGAGTTAAGTTAGTTTTAAGTGTTTATTTTTAATAATCGAGAGTATTTGTAAATTTATTGAAAAATTAACTTTAATAGAAAAAGATCATGTGTGCTTAACAAATAATTATAGCTCAAATTGAAGTTGTTTATTTTAAAAAAAACAAAAGTAAGAGTTCATTTGCAAACAGATGATGAACGAAAAAAAACTTATAATCTATTTGTAAAAGTTTTTGCAAACACCACCAAAATAACTTGTTTAATCTGTGCGCGTTAGCGTTAACCTTAAATGATACTTAAATATTTACTAAAAAGGAGGGGGAAGAAAACCCTAAAATTCAAACAGGGATATGCTCATTCGGCTTATCAGATCCTACAACTATTGAAATACATCATGTTGTTTGGAACCGTAAATCTACACAAAAAACTATACAATAAATACACATACATATGTGTGTGTGATTATGCGTAGATCAACGATGTAAAACTATATGGTGTATTTTCACCAGATATTTATGCTCGGTTCATCGAAAAACCATAATTAATATCAAATTTTATTAGTAGATTTAGTAAAAAAAATCAAACATTAGTATATATTACATCCAATACAAGAAATAGAGATTTGATAAAATCCAATTAATTGAATCAAAATAGATTCGATTAATATAATCATGATTAAAACTAAGTTTTGACTAAGTAAACACATTTACAAAGGAGCAAACAAACAAGAACAAAAGATCCAGTAATTCTTGTTTTAAAAATTTACAATCCCAAAGTAAAAGCTACACGACAAAATTTATATTTTAGGATTACTATAATAAAAGTCCACAACAAAATACAAAAATCTGATGTATATATATATATATATATATATATATATATATATATATATATATATATATATATATATATATATATATATATATATATATATATCATGCACGTGGGCCCACAAAATTAAATTTTCAACTGTAAGAAAAAAAATTAAAAATTAAATAACCTCCAATGAGAAGAAGCCCCCACTTGCTTGCAGAACGTGTGATGAATTTACAATTCAGTCCCTTTCTTGTTTCCCCATCATCAAATCGCCATTGAAGCCAAGCTCCAAACAAAGAAATTAATGTAAGAATATTCTACCATATCATTATTTTCTGTGTGTTTATATGATTATTAATTTACATATCGAATAAAGAATGGAAAAGTTCTAGAGTATTTGGAGAAGGGGTGTTGATGCGAGGTGAGATGAAAGTTGAGGGACTAGGTTGCAAAATGAAACTGTTGTCGTAGTAATAATTTAAGGGGTTATTATTATTATAATAATTATTATCTGATGGGAGAGAGAAGAAATTAGGTGGGATTAATGGCGGAAGAGAGTTTGGATTCGGTGATAGAATTCCCGGGAATTGTCCTGTATTTATTTGCACGTCTGTTCCTTCGAAGAATCCCATGTTTTGATCGTCGAGATTGCTGACGTGTTGTTGTTTTCGTCCTCCGTCGGGGGATTTTGTCTTCTCGATGGAGGCGAAACGGGCCGCCGGAGATACTGCGCCGCCGTCGGCGGCGGCGGCGAAGGCGGAGGAGGAGGAAGAGGCTGAGGGAGAGTAGCTGTTGTTGGGGCCGGTCAAACGTTGGACCAGTGACATGAACTCGTTAGGGTTTGCATGGATTATCTTGGGGGAGACCGTGTATATTATCACCGGCGGACGCGGCGGCGCGTGGTGGTGGTGGTGGAACGGCTGGGATGCTGCTGTTGCTGCTGGCGGAGCCATCGGCGGTTTTCGGATCTTGTGGGAGTCTTTGCGGACTCTCAGCGGCGCCGGGCGGGGGCCTTGGAGCTCCTTCCTCGGCGAGCCGCGGCCGGAAGGAACGTCGGAGAAATCCATGGCGGCGGTGCGGCGGCGATGGTGTCGGCTGCCGATGGAGGATTATTAATTAATATGGGTTGTTTTTTTTTTTTTGGGGTGATGATAATAAATGGTGGTAGGTTTAGTATACTTTATCAAAGTTTATATTACTGGTCAATGGAGTATGGGGATTATATATATGTGCTGGAAATTAATTTTTAAATACAGTATTATTTTATTAACTATTAAATTGTTTTTATGGTTATTGAAGTTTGATAGATGTTTGAACTTGTCAAACATTAATTATTTGCCACGTAGGATATTTGGTTGATGACGAAGATTGTCATGTAAGCATTAAATATTCCTGATTGGCTGCCACGAGGTCACTATTAGATGCCGGTGATAATCTTCTTCATATTATTATTTACTGACTAAAATAGCATTTATCATTTAATAATTTATAAAAAATAATGTCTGAATTAAAATTGAATTTAATAAGGTCAAAGTAGAAAAGTATATATTTAATACAGTATTAAAAATGTAAAATAATAAGTGATATAATAATACAAAAATATTTTTAAAAAATAACAATTATAATGGAACAGATGAAGTAAAAAATAGTTGTTTTAACCATTTGATCATTGATATGGTGTTTAATTGTTTATAGATTTTAAAGCAAGAACAAAATTTATTATAGATTATGTTAGTTTAATGTCAATGAATATTGAATAGTCTTCTTGTATTTGTGTATAATATGGACAAATTATTTACTTCAAAGAAACTATAAGTCATCTTACAAAGTTTAATCACGTTTGTAGAAGCTAGTAATATTATTACTATAAAGTACTAATATTGGTGGAAAAACATTGGTCAATCATCTTTTTAGTATTAACTGCAAAAAAAGTAAAAAATTAAAAAATTAAAAAATAAAATAAATTAAAATCTGGATATGAGTAGCCACTTGGACAATGATAAGGACAGTGAACAAAAGCTGGTGATTGGCTAAGTTGCAAGATTCGACCCATAACCCGCATCCAGGTCAATCACCCGACCCGACCCGACCCGACCAGATTGACCAGATCCAATATGACATGACATGGTCCATCTGCATAATTAATTGCAATACGAGTAAAGAAGAATCCAATGGCTGAAAATTAGCTTGGCCAATTCATGCTAATAATAGTAAACATCGGTCAAGGTCCGTTTGAATTTTCCGGACTAAGTCACGGCTCACTCAAATAATAACAAATATATATATATATATATATATATATATATATATATATATATATATATATATATATATATATATATATATATATATATATATATATATAAGAAATTCGACACGGGCTCGAGCTTAGTTATGAAACAATGCTAAAATATGAACTAAAAATAATTCAAGTTAGATGAACTCGATTCGTGTTAAGGCTCGACGATCAAAGTCTGTTCTAGTTCGACTGGATTGCTACTCAGATAAAGTTCATGTACACACAACTATAAAAACTCGATAATAATTCAAACAAACGAGAATGATTTTTGTGCTCGTCTCGACTCGGTTCATTTATACCTAGTATTATGTTGCGAAATTTAACTGTTTTGCTAACCTTACTGCCTAAGTCCCCTGAAATCCCCACCATATAAGTTAGATTTAATTGCATATAAAACCCCTCAAACATTGAAAATTACCCAAACCTGCCTGATAATATGCACTTAACAGATATACCAAACAAATCCTAACCAAATTTATAGACAGAAAAAAATATACACAACAAAAAACATCAATGTTTACTTACAAGACAGAAGCACCATCAAGTACAAGTGAAGCTCAGGCAAAAGAAGTCACTCCTAACAGAAACTAAACATCACTCCGAAGAAGTTATCCAAAAAAGAAACCCTCGTCTTCGGTTTGTATTAAAGAAGTATTCGAAAACAGCACCTCAAATATTCACTCCAAGGAATCCTGCAAAGCTTCGAACATAGGAAGCTGCAGCAACAAAAATATTCTCGTTCGCCGCCCTCCGTTCTCTAGGCTGATATTCACCAGGCAAACCATCCCTTACGTAAACGCGAGGGTGATTTTTCAACCGCTCTTTGATGGCATTTCTCGTAATCGGATCAACCTCGTACGGAATGCATACTTCAAAGTAGCTGTCTGGATTTGAGGCGCGCCAGACTTCTTCCGGAGTTGTACATTGTTTTATTTGATTAGGGTCCACCACACAAAAGACCAACCTCAATTCGTCCTCTTTCGAAACTGCAGAAAAAAAGAAATAGATAAGAATTTTTAGCACTAATAAGAAAATCCCAAATGAATATACAGTTTTGTCTTAGTTTAAGAATACAAGATTTTGTTACATCAACACTGAAGTCCAACGAAATTCGATTTCATTATCATATTGTGCCAGGGAATCAAGAAATCTGTGAGAGGTTCTCGGAAGAAATTTATTAAGCCAAATTCAGAATAAAGCCTGTTTTGATTAAGATTACCCGAGACTGTATAATCAAATACAAAATAAGTATGATACTGAACCAGGGATTCAAGAAAACTGTGATACTTCAGACAGAAAAAAATAATAAACATAACATGGTCTTAGTTAAGATTACAAGATATGATATTCCAAGACTGCAGTCTAATGAAATTCGATTTCATTATCATATTGTACTAGGGAATCAAGAGACCTATGAAAGGTTCTTAGAAGATATGTAACAAGCCAAATCCAAAATGTAAAGCCTGTTTTAATTAAGATTACCAGAGGTAATATTAAGCGAGAACACAAAAACCTGACTGTATAATCCAATGCAAAATAAGTATGATATCGGACAAAGGAATCCAAAAATTAAGGAGCATAATAAACCTTAACAATGAAAAGCTTGTTCAAGAATATAAATCACAAAGGAATGCTAAAGCTAAAGCACCAACGGATACGATCTCTTGGAATTCCTAATTTAATCACACAAAGGCAGGAATAATTTTGAAGAAATTTATTATTCGATAACCTCTACGGCACATTATTTCTACCCTTAAGTAACCTAATGTGACACCGTCTCTCTAACCAGAGGTAATATCAAGTAAAAACACAAAACGTAACTGTATAATCCAATACAAGATAAGTATAATATTGTACTAGGGATTCAAGAAAACTGTGATATTCCGTTCAGAAAAGAATTAAATACACATAATAAACCCTAACAATGAAAAGTTTGTTCAAGAATATAAAACACTTAAGAAAACTAAAACACATTGGATACAATCTCTCGAAAATCCCAAACTAATCATACAAACGCAGGAAGAATTTTAAAGAAATTTACTGTTCGATAACCTCTACGGCACAAGATTTCTCCCCTTAAATAACCTAATTCGATACCACCCACTCTGACATACTGCTCGAGAATTGAACTACACAAATCCAACTAATAAGAAACGGAACAGAACTAAATCATGCAAACTACTGAATTCACTAACAAAACTCGATGCTAATAAGAAAAGTGATAATCCTAAATAAACTACACGACTACAAATCGTGAAATCGCATCGAAAATTGAAACGCAAAACACCGACTAATTTTTCCGAATTACAATTACCCAGCTCTGCACAGAATCGCACTAAATTATCTGATTAAACATCGAAAATAAATTAACAAGCCAAATTCCCAACGCATAAACCCTAAAAATTAGAAGATCGCAGAAAAACCAACGCGTAAAACTCGAACAATCAAAAAATCAGCGGAGAAAAAAAAAAATCCAAAACCCTAACAATGAATTTTCCATGAATTTACGGATGAACGTTTATAATTAGAATGTACTTAAGAGGAGGAATTTACCATTGGGGGTGTGGAAGGCGAAAACTGTAAGCATTTGCGCTTTTTGATAGAGTTCCTTCTTCGCGTTCGTTCTTCTGATCTCCGCCTGTGTGAAGAGGGAGCTCCGACTGAATACAGTTATACTACATGCAACACAATCTTTTGAAATTATGTTTAAATTATATTTAGACCCCTCAAATTTATAGGTTTATACAATCCTTCCCTTGTATTTAAATCTGAAAATCTTGAAAGCCCATTACAATTGAGTCTTGCCGTTTCAATAGTGAGGCCCAATTAATGGCCCAATTACTTGGTCTACAACAAAAGATTTAGTCCACGAGAAACCTCGTACAGTAGAACATCGATAAATTAATACCCGATAAATTAATAAATTTGCTTTATTAATAGAATTTTGTTGGTCCAGCAGTATTAATTTATCGAGGTTTCACAGTATATAGAGATTTGTTCGATGCTACACCCGGTGAAAAACACCGGGTGGGTCTTCAGCTGCCACGTGTCTCTTTTTTATATTTTATAATAGATGGACCGGCTCAGTATCACAGCAACCGGGCGTTTT